TATATAATTCCATGTAGACATCTAGGATTTGCTGATTTTAAACTTTACCAAGTGACTTTTGTTTGCTCTTCCCTATCTACTGATCCATTAAATGTTTAGTTTTATGGCGCATTTTCCTGTGCTTAGAAGCCATTTACTTTGTATGTGAGAGTATCCATGTGTGTTTGCTGAAGTCTCAGTTCATGTCCTTTGCCCACTTTCATTAGATTGCTAAATTCATTTATAAGATTATTCACTGCTGCTGATTCCTTCACAAACCCACGGAACCAGGGATGGCCCAAGAGTGGGAAGCGAGAGCTCAATTCTCTTAATTCACCATCACAGACCATTGGCTTTGCTACCTGTTTAGTGACTGACATGAAGAATTTGCGATCTTCTTCTGTCCTCTGGGTTAGGAAGGTGAAGCAGTTTTTCCAGAGAAGAAGCCTAGTCTCATTCTTTCTATTCTTTTCTGAAACCTTCAGTTCCTACCTCATCACTGTGAAGCTGAGATACATTTTCTTCTTATAAGCTAGTCTGAGGAAATCCAAATATGATCATTCTGCTTACAACTTTCATGGATCCCTCACCCCTGAGGCATACTGTAGCAGTTATTGCTAGAAATGTGTCTCACCCTTGTATCTGAAGTGGGACAAGCATGACAGTGTTTCTACTCTATGTTCTACATGGCCATGAATAATAGAGCACACATGTGTTTAATCAGAAGAACCAAGAATAAGATTACTAACAGTATTATGTTTTAAAGAACTTATTTCAAAAATTCCATGGTTTCTCTTTACTTTTTGTATAAACTTGTTCTCCATCCCAGAACACACCACATATTAAAATAGATATTGGAATTTATGTTTGCCCTGCATTAAAAGCAGTTATTGAAGAGCTAAGAATGACTTTCTTCACTTAGAATGCCTAACAAAGAATGGCCTAACTGAAAATATTAATATTAAAGCACATGATTCTGGGAATCATACAGTCACACAGGTGCAGAAAGCTCAGTTGCTATCAACACATAAAGGAAGGTATTCTCAGGTTTACCTAAATCCATTCATGGTTTTCCATAGTGCAAAGACTGATATTCTACTTTAAGATACTGCAGAGAATCTACATGGAGATGGAAATAACCTTTGTAAAAATATAAAAACACCATGTGCCGGGTGAAGGCTTTCTTCAGAAATGCTTCAATAATTCGGGGGCCTCCAAAGATATGTGTACAAATAAGCTGTGTTTCATTTGAACTTCATACTGTCCCCAGAAATTGTAGGATAGATGTTATTTTCATGTTACAGTGGAGAAATGGAGGTTGTATATTGGTTGAGTAGGTTTTCTAGTGTCTTGAAATACAGTATAGAACCAACACACAGACCTAGTCTTGTAACCCTAAATCTACACTCTTGTCACTGCGTCTATCTTAGTTAGGGTTCCTGTTGCTGTGAAAAGACACCACAACCATGGCAACTTTAACAAGGCAAACCATTGGGTGGCTTACATTTTCAGAGATTTAGTCCATTATCAACATGGCAGAACATGGCCATGTACAGACAAACATAATGCTGGAGAAGGAGCTGAGAGTTCCATATCTTGATCCACAGGCAGCAGAAGGAAACTGAGCACCACACTGGGTGTAGCTTGAGCGTATAAGACCTTAAAGCCTGACCCACAGTGAAAAACTTCCTCCAACAAGCCCACACCTAGTCCAATAAGGCCACACCTCCTAATAGTGCCACTCCCTATCAGTCAAGCATTTAAACACAGGAGTCTATATGGTGGCCATACCTATTCAAACCACCACAGCATCCTTCATGATGCTAATGTCCTTAAGAAGTTTGCGGAAGGCATTGCTAGTATGACTGTTTCCTAGCCCTTGACATCTGTGCTATATTAAATGAAATATGTTCATAAACAATTTAACTGCCGATATGAGGTCCATTTTATTTCCATTATCTATTAGCAACAGGAACAAGAGCATATGCTACAGCCCAAAGTTTTCCTTAGCTATGCTTTTTAGCAAGAGCCAACTTTAGAATCCAATTAAGCTCATGCATGGAGGGATCAGACTTATACCTCAAAGCAAATCAACACACATCTTCCCAGTGATCTTATCTCTTTACAGATTTTCCTTCCCGGCAGCAGCTCCAATCATCGTGGCATTCCCTGCAGAGCCAGATTTTCATACACAGCAAAGCAGGTGTGATAAGCTCGAGGAAGAGATAAAGCTAGGTATGCTCCACCGCTGTACCAATGCAAACTGACTGCCTCTAAGAAGTGATTTACCCACGGCTGGATTTCAGCAGTGATGGCAGAGAGCCCAGGTGGTGACTGCAAGATGAATAAATCTGGAGGCTGTAATTGTAAATAAATAGCAGCCCATTTGGGCTAGAGCTCACTTCTTCTCCTATATATTCCACCCTGTGAGTGGGGCATAAAATGACCTAGAACTAGCCAAGACAAAGAAACACTTGCGTACACTAGATGCCACTGGGGGCGTGAGAGAGATGCTTCCTCCCCTCCCCCTGTCATGCTCTTGGCTTGATTTGATGAGGGAGTATGTAAGTCTAGGCAGCACAGGATTACAGTATAGAAGGGATCTGTCAGCAATTGATTAACTGAATACTTCAAAATAGCTAGCAGAAAATGTTTAGAATGTTTCCAACATAAAGGATAAATATATGCAATTATACCTATGTCAATCCTGGTCTAGATAACATGTGTTATATGCACATATTGCACTGTGAAAACAGACCTTGTAGAAATGTACAGTTGTTTTCATTAACCAAAAGCTAAAGAGTCCATTGGAGGGTTAAGGTAAAAACAGAACTCTGAGTTGAAACCTGCTGGGTGGGGGAGGAAACAAACCAAACCCGATCTTAATTCCTAATCTTCCAGTGGAATCCTGAACCTGACTGTACCTGTGGAGACCCACCTTACCTCTGCGCTGCTCACGTGCTGGGTCAATGTTTTACTAATTTCTTCACCCTGTTTTCTTCCCTCTTTCTCTTTAAACTAACGTTATGCGTGTTTCTGTCACTTGGTATGAATAACTCAATTTCAGAAAAGCAACAGTCAACTTTCTTCATGGTTTTTGTACTTCTGTCTGAAAACTTACAGATTGAGGATGGTGGTCATTTGGCTTCATAGATTCTCAGCCGTGTATTTCACAAGGGCCATCCTGACCCCTTTATACTTGCATGGATGGTGGAAATATATCTTTGGGAGGAGGGGGAACACAGCCCAGAATGATTTAAAATTTTACTTTTGTGTGAAGGTAAAAGCTGTTCTGAAATCCGGAGACTAGAAACAGTTAAACACTTGTGAGGTCAATGGCATTTTCCGCTGCCATAATAAAATGCAATTCTTTATTTTAAAGATCACAGTCCTTAAAAATCATCTAATAAATGTGGTTGATGGATTTCATCACAGTACTTTCTTCCACGTGGTTTCTTTTCACTGACTAGCTTCTCTTCGTAAGTAGCTAGGTTTGAGCCCCCTCCCGTGAGCCCTAGGTCGATAGGTTTGCTCGCTGTTTAGAGCTGACGAGGAGAAGATGGCCACAGAAGGGAAAGGCTCTGCCGTCACCATCTCAAAGTCCCCAGAGCAAATTTGTTCCTCAAAAGGCTTTTCTTTTCTTTCAACAGCATTTTATTAATCCTCTGAGAATCCCTAATTAATTTTTGAGCATATCAATTCTTCCCAACTCCTCTAACTACCACTCCCTCCAACTTCCCATGATTCCCATTTTTTGTTTCTGAATGAGCTGGAGATGATAGCATGGCCGTCCTTAGCCTAAAGCATCGCTTCCGGCTAAAGTCCCGCATGCTGTGTTAGGTGCTGCGAAGAAAGAAGTTGTCCAAATTATAGGACATTTTAAACTAAGTGGAGGTAAGGAAAGGAAATAAGGCAGCGGGAGAAAGAGGGAAAAGAACGTTTCTTTAGTGTGGCCATTTAATATATCCCAACTAGCCTTAGGAATATCCAGACATCTACTTTTGGATGTGTCTGTGAAGATGTTCGTGAAAGCGGCTGTCATTTAAACTGGGTGAAACACCCTGCTCTCCCCCACAATGAGTAGGCGTCTGCTCCCCATTGAGAGTCTAACTAAGGAAAACAGAAATGGCTGCCTGCCTGCCTGACTGCCAGAGCCGGCGAATCTTCTTTTGTTCTTGGAATTTCTGAATCTGAGACTTTAATATTCAGTATCATATCTAGACCACCAGTCCTCTAGTTTTCAGGGCTCTATATGCACTACGGCTTTCTCTGGTCTTAAACTCAGAGAACACAGACCACGGAACTTTTTACCCAGCCTAACTGTGGACACCAACTGTGTATAATTAATAATAGATGTTATTTTGTGTAACACGCACACACACTCACACACATGGTCTGCCACTCTCCTGGCTACCATGTCAGTCGAGCTGAGTAGACCAAATGCTACAACAAAGAAACTGAACCTTCTCTTGAGGCCTAATGTGGAACCACTAAGCCTGGTTCTCAGGTTTTTCTGGAGATTTTTTGGGACCTGCTCAATGGCCTTTAATTAAGTAATTTTCTGCCTGAATCAGCCAGTTTGTTTCTGCCGCTTGTGGGCACAACCTTGACTGAGACAAATGAGTTTCGAAAACACCGTTCCATGGATGCTTAAATGTCGGTAGACGATGAGTTCTTACTAATGACAGAGGAGGCTGGAATGAAAAGAAGTGGGGAATAACCTGTTGATTGCTTGTTACTAGAAATTGACTCAGTGGCTGAGGTTTTACACGCTGAACCTTGCAGGTGAGAAAAACAAGACCCAGAGGTTTTTTTTTTTTGTTGTTGTTTTTTTTTTTTTTTCTTTTCTGAGATCTGAAAGGAGGAGCCAGGACTCGGATTTAATTTTAAGTCAGTTACCCACACCACAGAAAGAAGGCTAAATAACATTAGCAAATTGTCTTGGTGTTCTATTGCTGTGAAGAGACACCATGACCACTGCAACTCTTATAAGGGAAAGAATTTAACTGGAGCTGGCTTACAGTTCAGAGGTTTAGTCCATTGTCGTCATGGCAAGAGGCAGGGTGACGTGCAGGCAGGAGACACGGTGCTGGAGAAGAAGCTGAGAATTCTAAATCTGGAACAGCAGGCAGCAGGAAGAGAGAGACAGTGAGCCAACTTGAGCAGTTGAAACTCCAAAGCCCATTCCTAGTGACACACTTCCTCCCACAAGGTTACACCTACTGCAAAAATATCCCTTTCAAGAAGCACCACTCCCTGATGAACAAGTATTCAAATATATGAGCCTCTGGGGGGCATTCCTATTCAAACCATCACACAAGTCAAATGATATTCCAATTACAAAGTCAATCGTCAGGACACAGGCTTGGCCGTGGCGAGTCCTTGAGGCAATTGTGACAATATAGAGGCCATAGCAGGAGAAAAGAGGCACATAAAATGGCCTAGCAATTGTACCCAGAAGATGACCTGTGCTTCGCCCAGGGTACCTTACACACTGAAAGCAATTTCCTCTTCATTATTTATAATGATATCTGATATATATTGATATATATAATGTATTTATAAGAATTATATAGATTCTATGTTTACAAAGCACAATGGGATATGACTTTCATAACACTGCATATATCAATATTATCAAAAGAGTAGATTTTAATTGTTCTTACCTCATAAAAGAAGGAAGTAATTAAGAATACTTAGTGTTCTGAGAAATGGTAACATGGTTAGGATGTAATTAAGCCCTGCATGCTGTCGACAGCCCGAGATCAAGCTAGTCTCTCTGTGAAGTATTCAGAGAGACTTCCTTGTCAAAAGAGATTGGTTATGAACTTGCAGTTCGCAGATGACAAGAGTTCTCACTTAACGTAACAACCAATTGTCCTCTGAACCATTGTTCCAAGTGGGATATATACATAAGTAGTGTGCATTCTTTTGTAGCCTGTGTAAATAAATGCATATTGAATCTTTTCTGAACTCTTGTGTTCATACCTGAACAAAATGTTCTGTTCAAATTTACTTGAAAAAGATAAATAACCCTGACTGTTGGCCTCGTGTTCTAATTAAAACTGCACATAAAGTTAGACAGCCAGTCCTCTGTATCCCATTTGTGTGTGTGGCTTAAACCAGCTATATATAGGAATATGTTATAAACCTTTGTCTATTGAATACATGCAGACTGCTTCTACTGTCAATATCCTCTAAATGATATGCTATTTACATAACATTTGCTTAGTATCAGGCATTATAAGTAATTTACAGATGGATTAAAGAATACAGAAAAATGTGCATGAGTTATATGCAAATTCTAGACCTGCTGTGCAGTGTAATGAGTTTTTTTCCACCAGCTCCAAAATAACAATACAGAGATTTATTAATTATTAAAGTTTGGCCTTAGCTTAGGTTTGTTTCTAACCAACTTCTATAACTTAAATTAACCTATTTATATTAATCTATGTTCTATCATATGGTGTTACCTCTCTTTCATCTTATACCTCATGTTTTCTCTCTGTGTCTCCTGGCATCTCCTCCTTTCTTTGTCCCAGAGTCCTCTCTGTTTCTGGAAGTCCTGCCTATACCTTCTGCTTAACTATTGGCCATTCAGCTTTTTATTACAACAATCACAGAAAATACATCTTCACACCATATACAAACATACCACAACAATGTAAGACACTTGAATATCTGTGGATATTTTTATTAAAGTAAATGTATCATTTAACTGATACATAAGGACATAAAAATTGTTCATACTAACCTAATGCCATAAGATTTTGACATATATATGATTGTATAATGTTGAAAGCAGGTTTTTTCTGTCTCCCCAAGCATTTATCTTGTCTTCATGAGGAGCTTTTCTAAAGGTAAAATTCTTTGCTATTGTCACAGTCATTGTGCCATGAAGATGGTACAGTGGGACCTCTTGGCCCTACCTAACTGTAACCTAGGACCCTTTGTCAATCTTTCTCTCCCTCCTACCCTTCTTAGTCTCTCAGCCACCATTCTCCTCTCAACTTCTTTGTTTTCAAACTTTATTGTCGACATGAACTTACATTGGTTGCACAAATTAATGGACTGTGCTGTTTTCAGAGATGCATAGCTCATGCTTCAACTGCATCCAGTCTTTCTACAGCTCTCTCCCCACTTCCTCTCCATCCTTCTCGGCACCAGTCCTTTATCCAACTGTCTCTCTTCATCTCTTCTCCCCCTCCTTCCAGTTTCTATGAGATTGAATTTTGTAGGTTCCACAGAGGAGAACAAAGCTTTAGCTACCTGAGTTTTTCACTTTGCCATAAAGACCTCCAGGTCCAAACAGATCACAATGGGCAGGATTTCATTATTTTGATTGCTTGATTAGACTCCCATTGTGGGTTACCAAATTGTCTTTTTCCAATTATCAGTTTGAAGATGTAGATCGTTTCCGTTCTTAGCTCTTGTGGCCATCACAGCAGTAACGTGGGAATGCAGATATCTTACACACAATGACTTCCTTTCCTTCGGGAAAGGATCACAGGCTCATATAGTAGATCTACTCTGATCTTTTGTGGAAACTTTATATTGTTTTCTACAATGTATGAACTAACACCAACAGTGTGTCAGAGTTCCCTTTCTCTACAGCATCACTAGCACGTTATCTCTCACTGTTTTTGATGGTAGCCCTTCTCACGGTAGCGAGGCACTATCTCATCATGGTTTGATTTGCATTTACCAAAGAATTAATAGCATTACACAGCTTTTCATGCATCTGTCGGTTGCTTGTACGTCTTCTTTTGAGAAGTGTCTACTTAGATCGGTTATCTCCCTTTGAACAGCTTTGTTTTGCTTGGCATTCAGTTGTTGGAGTTTTCATGTGCATTCTGAGAATTGTGTTGTCGGATATACACACTGCTAATGTTTCCTCCCATCCTTCAGGTTGTCTCTCCACTTTCGTTATTGTTTCTCCTGCAGAAGGATTTTAACTCGCTAGAATTCCTTTTGTCTAGTTTTGCTTTTTTTTGTCTCGTGTTTGCTTTCAGAATCTTGTCCCAAACCTCCTTGTTCATTCCGGTGTCCTAAAATGTTTACCCATGCTTTTTTTTTTTTATAATAGTTTCATGTCATATGTTTAAGCCTATAATCCATTTCGAGCAGATTTTATAATTGATGAGATACAAAATTCTCATTTCGTTTTTCTACCCATGTATATCCACTTTTCAAGCATCATTTATTGACAAGATTCTCTTTTCTCCAGAAAACATTCTTAGCAGCTCCATCAAAAAAATCAGTTGTCTTCAGATGCGTGGGGCTGTTTCTTGGGTCTCTATTCTATTATCCTAGTATACAGATCTGCATTTAGACCAATATTGTGATGATTTGGTGCTATAGATTTGTAATGTGGTTTTGGTTTTGGATAGTGTTTGGTTTTGACTTTGATTTTAACATCCAGAATTTTTCTTATCTACAAAGGTCTTAAAATCAGATTTCCATGAACATCAAGAGAGGGTTACTCTTAGGAAAATGTCGTTTCTTTTTCTTCTTAACTACTCCATTTTTATCCTTTCTCTCTTTTTGCCTTTTCCAGCAGTATCTCCCACAGATAACTAGTTTCTTTGGTGTCCAAGTTATTCAAACTTTTTTCAAAACATAAATCAGTGTGAGGACACACTTTCTTGAAACCCTTTCTTTCTTTCATGAAGGGTGACTCTCTATTCTCTCTTGGATTTTACCTTTTCTCATAATCATTCTTTATTCATAAGATATTTCTAATTTCTTTTAATTGCTTCCTAGCCTCCCATGTGGGCATTTTAATTTGCTCACACTCTATCTATATAATCACTTAGGATATTTATAGTCTTTTACAATTACCAGTAGTGTTATAATGAAGAATCTTTTTATAATAAAAAACGGTTCCTCCAAATCTAAAGTTCCTTGAAAGATAATATTTTTGTAATTCAAGAGGTATTATATCTAGATGTGCGAGGTTCTGAATGATTGTGTCATCTCAAATTTATAGGTTGAAATCCTAGCCCCTAAGATGATGCTACTAAGAGGCATTTGGAGAGTTAATTAGGTCCGAAGGGTGGAGCCCCCATAAATAGAGTTAATGTCTGTATAAAGTGGAGCCAAGGGAATTCTTTTTCCTTGTTACTATGTGAGAACAACATAAGAAGGTGTCATCTATAGGTCAGACTCCTGGCACCCAGAAAACACTGGACCTGGCAGTACCTTAGAGTCCCCGGCTTCCAGACCCATGAGAAGCATTTCTGCTGTTTCCAAATCAACAAGCTGATAGTGTTGTTGAGTACACATGTGAAGGCTATCAAGTTCCCTATGCTATTTCGAAAACTTGTTATGGTTCTTAAGTTAACTTGATCTCTTATAATGTTTTAAAGTTTTCAAAATATACTATTTAATTACCTACATATATAGTAAAGGTTTTCAAAGTATACTATTTAATTATCTGCATATATAATAGAGAACAAGTCCTTACTATTGTTATTTTTAAACTATTCGTATGCCTCTACTCAATCTATATGCCATAATTTCTGTAAGTAATAATTCTCCTGCAGCGTTCAATAAGAATATAGACAGGGTTCTTAATATAACTGGGGAGGACTCCAGTGTCTCTCCTGAACATCCGGATAGGCGAGTGTATATAAAGTCTTCAGTTCCTTTTCTTGTTGCTATGACAAAATACCCGACAGAGCATCACTGGGTGGCAAGGATTATTAGCTGATAGTTAAAGGTCACAGCTTGTCAGTGCCAAGGCATCACAGCAGACAAAGTAGTCACTAGTCACATTGCATCCACAGTAACACAGCAGAAAGTCCCAGTTGAATACGTATCTATCGCTCACTTTCTATTGATGGTCTGTACTGTCCACGGTCTGCTACTGAAGGAAGGAATGTTGCCACCCTCAGAGGGAGAGCCTTCTCACTCAATTTATGCAATCAAGATAATCCCCCAGAGGCATGCACGTAGACCCATCTCCCAGTGAGTCTAGGTTCTACTGGGTTCCCAGCACCGACCATCACAGTGTGGGTACATGCATAGCAATTGCAACATGTTGGAAGGTCTTCCGTTCCCTTTCCATAGTTCTGTTGTAGTAGATCTTGACATTTATCATAGTTTTTTTTCAGTGTTTATGGAGATTATTATGAGGGTCATGTTTTCTTTTAAAGCCATTAATATAACATTAGTGAATTTCCTAATATTATAATAATAAATCTCACTTGGCCATGGGCTATTGTTAAACTGCACTGGATTCTTTATTCCTGGTTGAATATTTACACCAGTATTCAGGGAGTATTAGTCTGTCCCTTAATACACAGATTCTCAGCCTTCCCTTCCTAATATCTCTAACCACTTTGATTTCCTTTCGACTTTATTCTCTCATTTGCCTTTCCACCTTTCATTTCCACTTGCCAAATGTGTCTCTTTGCTCAGGTTCTCAGTAGCTTACTCTCTTCTCTAGTCTTCTCCATCCATTTCCCTCTGCTGATCACTTGACTTTCGCTTCCACTTCCTCTGGCTTCTATCCATTAATGGTTTTTCTCAAGTTGTCAGTTTAAGGTGTTCTATCATTTTCCCAATGCTTGAATGATTATAATTCTGTTTAGAGTGTGGGAAGTATACACATTTTCTCCTTCAGAGTTCTTAAAGAGGGTAAAAGCTGTTAAACAACTCATGTGTATAAAAGTTTCTTCTCTGGTTTTGTGAAATGGCCTTGTAAGAATTTATTGCTTTGTTTTCATTTTTCCAGTATTATGCCTGTTTATAA